TTTTGGTCAACATAAAATTCAAGAACAGTTAGAATAAATTTATAATTATGTAATTACATGTATATGTGTATAAAACAAGGTCATAAAAAACTTATATATTGTCGCATTAATTATTGCTGTATAATAATGATGGATCTACATCTTATTAGCAAAATTTGTAAGTATTTATTAAGCAAATTTGCAATTGCAAATATAAGTATCGTTTTTAAAAATTTAAGCACAGTTTTAATGCTTTCAGTAATTTCAGCTACGCCTGTGCAAACCACACATTCCGTATGTTCTCGCGTTAGTTGACCCCGGATTTGTTTGAGGAAGAGTGTCAAGATTGTCAAGAGGGATTGGCGCTAACGACGCTTCGAATTGCAAAGGTAACGAGCCACTTTTGCATCTCTTCATAAACGTCGTCGACATAAACGGCTACAGGCACTTTTTTATTTCCCGCTATCTTTTCAAAGAAGCTGGAAAAGTGCGTTGTATATGCAAATTGCTTTCAAGCGGCGATGTCAGGTGGTAATTGTACGAGGTTACAGATCGAAGGTCGCGTTAACATCTTTACTGCAATGCCCAGTCGATAATTATCGCACTTCTAGTGACTCTTCATCTTCTCCCATCCTGTAAGTGGGGCTACTGTTGGCCAAGAAATGACTTACAGCTGACACTTTCACTCACACTGCTGCTTCAGACATCGAACTTGGGGTATTCGTCCAGTTGCCTGATGAAAGATGTCATGTTCATTGCCATCAACGTGACTTTGCGTTAATGCCGCTCGTCGAGCTATTGTCGCTTCGCGCGATACTTTTTACATTTTTTATAAAAATATTTTTTTTTAACAAATTATTTTTTTGACCATAAATTGCGGTTTATAAATAATCATCTAAAAATTTTGTAATTATATTTTCTCTATTAAAAAAACTTATAAAAGTTATAAAAACGCATTCATATTTCAACAGCAAAAGTGATACGCTATAATTATTTCTCATAACTCTCTCTTTTTAAAATAATGACTTTGACTTTGACTTTTTATTTATATTTTTCTTTTCATATTGAAAAAAATTACAAAATATTTGTGCATATTTTTTATATTGTCTAATCGAGCATACGTAAAAAAAGAAACAGTTTTGAAGGACGTTCGGAAGGCATCTAAGGCATCAGATGTATACTGGATGTCCCCAAGGGAACATGGACCCCTTTTCATGTCGGCAAGCTCGAGATCGTGACTCAGCAGCGAAAGCGAATCTCCAGAGACTCATGTTTCTCACCTTGGACAGATCCGCTGCCAACACCTTGAGTTAGAACGAATGCGAAAAACATTCACATTTTCTAAATTTCAAAATTTGAAATGCTATGCATAAGATGTATCGCGCATGATTTTCCCCAAAAGATCTATCGATCATCATAGAATTATATTGATTCGCAAATATTTTGAACGTACTTTGAATTTAGAACGAATCATTGATCGATAATTCCCCGAAGAATGTAATAAAGATTAAATTATGATTTCTTTGAAGACTGACTTATTCTACAATTTTGCGAAGTGAAACAACAATTATTATATTATTCATCAATGCATTCATGTTCATATATCATCATATTTCCTATAAACTACTTATTATAACTGTAGAAATGAAACTTCAACAATTATATATATTTTTTTAATCATATCAATTTCCCTCAAAATATCTCATCTGCAGTTTTCTGCCTTTGGTAGAGATGATTAATCAGTTGGACCTCGCTAAAAATAATCCCGGAAACGCAAATTCGCGCAGCTTCAATATCAGAGACGATGCTCCTCTTTCATAAGCGATCAACAAGTTGAATATAACTGAAACGCCGTTAATAAAGCGATGAAAATGATAAATCGCAACGGTTCCACCCCCGTCCGAGCACCGTATTGCGTTATTAAAACTTTACTAATGGGCAATAATAAGCACCAGCCTTGGCCAAGATTGATATTAAATCGTAAACTGTTTCGTCCTCATTTATCATTATCATGATGCAAGTCCGTTGAACTCTTTAAATCTTGAATCCGCGAAGAATTCTTGCCAAGCGGGTTTTTATAGAGAGAGGGGGGGAGAGAGAGAGAGAGAGAGAGAGAGAGAGAGAGAGAGAGAGAGAGAGAGAAGAATATATGTTATAGTTTAAAAAGTTAGTTATAATTATTTAAAAAGAGCATTTTTGTCATTGTAATGTTTATTCCGACTCCAAAATATTTAAATGTAACACTACTGAATAACTTCAACAAATAGATTTTTCTCAATTACAAATATATTATTTAAAAATTTATTAATATTAACAATATTTGATACATCTCTAAAATGTCAATACAACTTCTCAGAAACATAATTCGTTTTGGATGTCAAAACATCGACAATCCTCTGATAGACAACAAAATTCATGAAGTGATATGACAGACCCACGTGTGTGATCTCACGATAATCGTCACTTGGATGATCACACATTCGTCCGGTAGCCGAAAGGACTCGTTGACGAAGCAGGCCCTCTTCGAGGATAGCCGTGGGTGTAAAGGGGGTGTCATGCCGGCAGACTGGGAAAAGTGATTGATCGTGTTTCGCCGGAAGACAAGAGCAGAAGACTCGGAACAGAACCAGAGGAAAGGAGCGAGACGACGAAAGTAGAGATGGCGTAAGATGGCGGTGGAAATGAGAAAAGAGAGAAGGACAGCAGTTCCCGAGCATCGTCGGTGATAAAGACGAGGTTGTGTCGCAAAACGAGAAGACAACCCCCTCTAGCCTTCTCTACGTCATTCAGCGGCCCCTTCAACCCCTCTGGACTCTTCCAGATTCCACTCAAAGCTCCGCTCTCCTGCTTGAAGCGACATGAAGTGGCCATAAGAAAAATAGAAATAAGCCGTGGCGTATCCGGATAAACGAAGAACTAACTCAAGAGAGAAAGACAGATCTCGTAAAAACGCGCGATGCGTTTTCAACCTTCCTGAAAATATTCAATCCTAAATTATTTCTATTTTCTCTATTTGGTGTATCTGACATTAATTAAAGGATTTTCGATAATAAAAAAATCGCTTTTCGATCAAAAGTATGAATTTTAAACTAAAATTTACGTAATTCATACGAACTAATATTGGCCTTACATCGCTTTTGTTCTATAATACCGTTCTACAATATACTGTTATTTCCTGAATCGTTTATACAGCACACAGTCAATGTAGCTTAAATTTACCGTGCTGTATTGTCGTACCAAGGCAAAACACAGTGAGTATGCTCTTTGTGTAATGACTCGGCGTTTTATATTCTCTATGCCACGCAGCTGATCGCGAGTAGACGTACTTGACCGAGTACGCCGAGACACCAATGTATTAATATGAGCAGAATGTAATCGAATAGCAAATCTATTACTATTAATTTAGCCAATTTAATCTCGTCTTACGTAACATATCACTTGAGTATCAATTAATTATAAAATTAAAGATGGCTAATTTAACAATAGCATATATCCATTTATCCTTTACTCATTTCTCCTTGTTTCGTAATAATTATTATAAAAATGTGTCTATTTTTACTTAATATAGATACAGAAAATATATTTAACTTGTTTGTATGAATATCAATTAATATTGATAAATAAATATATTTTATTAATAGCAACTTCAGATATTAAATTATATCCACTTAATAGGGAAGAGACTTAATAGAGATCAATTAACGTTCAGTTTTCATATAATATTGGCAAATGGAGCTGTAATGCGATTATGGTAACACCTGCTGGTCACAACAAGTAGTTCTGAATTAGTATCACGATTGTCCTCACAACGATATTCGATATCAACAACATTAACGTTCATTGCCACCGTTTCTCTTAGCATTAACTCTGGCTATAAGATGAATTCAGAAGCATGGAGGCGGGTTAGGGGAATATGTAGGAGTGACTGCATGGTTATATAGGTACCTCGAGTATGCCCCATAAGGGCACAAGATCCACTGTTTCCGTGGCAGGGGTTGGTCTCATGCTGCCGCGGAGTGGGGGTGATTCTAGAGAAGACGCATGACGAGAAAGAGGGGACTCGGCTCTCCGCATCGGCTCAAAACCAACCGGCGCGAACGGAGCTGGAGGGAGTTGGAAGCAAACCAGAGTTGCCAGACGAGTTTCTGCTGACGCGCGACGAGCTCACTTTCAGGGCTTTCCGTCGAAACTTCACTGACTAAATCTTTATATTTATAGTAGAAATCATTAACAGTTTGAAACATAGTAGTGACTGAAGTGCAATTCGGAGGTAACATATTTGTTTATTAAAAAAAAAAATGATTCGTATGGAAACGCTTGACTTATCAGAATTGTTTGCAGAAAAGTCAGCTTGATACTCGAATTAAGCTGATAATGTGAATAAGAAGTGAAAGTTTATGTAAAAGTGTAGTGTATTATATTAAGAAGCAAGACACTTGCGTAAAAATTAATAAACTACAAGTGTGTCTACGGATTCCCCGATGACAATCGTGAAATAACGAAGCAAAGCAAGAAGTTGCTGCACCTGCCGCAGTGGTTCTCGCGGCGCCACTCACGTGTTGCATGCGTGCCGTAGTTATCCATCATGGTCGCGGACTAGAAGCAGCTCCGATTGGTCGGTTTTGTGGTCACGTGGTATGGTAATTGGGCTCCGGTGGGCGGGAAGGAGCGAACGAGGTCGTGGAGGATCGCGAAAGTGGCGGAAGGAGAGGAGAGAATAAGCAGCTGTCCACCGGGAGTCCTGTGCTCGTTGTGGCCCCGCTCTTTCCATTTCTTTTCTCTTTTCTCCCTCTCTTTCTTTCTCTCTTTTCCTCCTTTTGAGAAAACGTCACCCCTTTTCGCAGGAGACGGTGAGGTGTGGACGATGGACCATAGCGCAGTGTCGTGCAGTGCAAGCTTGAGAATGAATATTATATGAACTCGAAATGGTGTGCCGCATCAAAGAATTGATGCAGATAGCAAGATAAAAGAGAAGAATCAAGAAGTGCGATTGTTTAAAATTCATTTGGACTATCGTGAGTGCGTGTTTTTCATAAAAAAGTACTCAGGAACATGAATTCCTTCCTTCCATCCGCCGCTGGTGGATATCATCACCATCAGCATCAACAACAAGCTGGAAATCATCATCTAGCCACTACTTCCTCGTTGGTTGATCCAAAGTTTCCTCCCAACGAGGAATACAGTCAAAATAATTATATACCTTCGACCGGAGCAGACTTCTTTTCAAGCGGTAGCGGTGGTCATCATTTGAGCCATCCACAATCTCAACTACAATACGGCTACCATCAACATCATCATCAAGCGGCGTCGACTCCTTACGGGGCTTCCTCTGCGGTACAATTAAACGGAGGATATGCAGGATATGGCGGATATTATGGACCTCATCATCCTCATCACCAAGTGCATGCAGTTCATCACGCTAGTTTACATTCTCATCATCACGCGGTTGGTGCTTTAGCGATGCCGCCGGAAGCTCAACAACCACCGCTCACGTGTCCGTCGTCAATACAAAGTCAACAGCAACAACAGCAGCAGCAACAACCATCTGTACCGACGTCAACTATCCTTGGATCCACGCCTCTGTCACCATCTATAATGCAGAATCATGTGCAGCAGCAGCCAGATGCCCTTCAGCATCATCAGCATGAAAATAATGCCTGCAGTCCAGCCGGTTCGGGTCAGTTGCACCGAGACAATTCACCTGATCTTCAAACGCAACAATCGTTGTCTCAGCAATCTCAACATATACAGAGCGGCCAACAACAAACGCCGCCACAGCAGCAACAACATCATGTAGAAGACAGCTCGGACGCGGATGACATAGAAGATGGTCAGATGGAGGGTTCACCGGGAATGATGGAAGAAGAAGAAGAAGACGAGGAGAATAGAGATCGTACGATTTATCCATGGATGAAAAAAATTCATGTTGCAGGCGTCGGTGAGTTTATATGGATTTACAATTATATTGTATGTATATCTTGTACTTTTGATACAATAATATTGAAATTTATTTTGTTTTCGTCATTTATATTGTAATATTACATTTTTTTATCTATCTTTATCCTTGTTCCATTTTATTTTTAAATATCTTTTTATATCCATTTTCCAATTTGGAAACCACTGTTTATATTTATCAGCTTATTTATTTAATAAGTACAAACGCACATAATTTAATTAGCAAAGTATAATTTTATATATTAATCTCAGTTTTGCGCTATAATTAATAAATGTTATCAATATTTTCATTTTGGGTTATATCGTGGAGGAAGCGTAATTAACCGCTACAGAAATATATCCGACGGCTTGAAGAGATATCTTATATACTCAATAAACTTAAACGTATAAAGTCTATTATCATAATATTATGGTAAAATAAATGTAATAGGACAAATTTATATTTCTCCTCAAATGTATACATTTTTCGATATTAATTTATTTAAAAAGAATAATGATTTATTTCTACTATAGCATTCTTTTTCTTACAAAGGATACGTTGTAGCGCCTCGTTCATGAAATGATACACATACTAATAAAACACATTTAATATTTAAAAGTATATTTGTGATACAAGATGCTGCCATGTTTTCTGTTTAATGTTTTTTTTTCACTTTGATTCTATCACAAAAATTGTTCCTCCTTAACGAAATAAAAAGCAAAAATTTGAACTTATTAACATGTTTATATTTTCTATTTTATTATTCTTATTTATCAATATTGTTACAAAATAAACAGCAATAAGAATTTGAAGGGACGCTGGTACCGAAACTTGTTTTCTGAACACATAAAAGACCTGCCGAATATCTATTTATATATTTAGTAGATATACATTACATTATGTGTTTACAAGGTGACGAGCTTTAGAACGGTCCCGAAGAGTTATGGCCTGAAATTTATCTATCCTAGCACCTTGCAATCACCTGTGTGAGGTTGTAACGGCACCTCGTTTTATAGGTGAATTCGGTTACGCCTAATATATCTTCATCTTTCGCACAGTAGCGAACGTACTACAATAATGGGACGTCCACAGCACACAATTCAGTGTTGCGGACAAAAATAAATTTCGAAATTCGACACAGAGATTCTGCCGTGTTTTAAGTAGACATTCATCATTGTGCAAAGTTGCTAGTGCTCAAGACTTGAAACAGATGCCGGTGATGGTATAGCACTTCTAGTTGTTGTAATTAAGGCAATTAGCGCGAATGTAGTTCTTCTTTCATAATTAATAAGACAACTACTTCCAGAATTAATATACGCGTGCTTCCTATCTTCATAAAAATAGAAAGATATTTTGAGCGTAACCACAACACACAGATATATTAATTAACGTTTTACAAATTACAGAGTAATGCCTCTATAAGTGCTTGTAACGCATTCATTTCTTCAAAGTTTATCGTTTTTTTACATTATGCTAAACTAGAAACTATTTCAGCAGGTAGAAAGAAGTCCTCATTAAAGAATTTCCAAAGATAATTTTTGCAACGTAATGTCCCTTCAGAATTATTGGCCTTGCCGCCACAAAAATTTCTATTCTGCGGAAAATGCTGTTCATTCCAGCTTGCAAGTATTTCTTTTGAATCCATTGCATATGATACAATAGAAAATAAAATTTTATACCATACAGGAGAGATTGAATATCATAATTTATGTTTCCAAGTAAAATTGTTTACAACAAAAACTTGTTATCTCTATTATTAACGCTAAAAATTAATGTACAAAAAAATAGCGTTTTATTCAAATTAATTTTATAATAATAAAAAAAAGAGCGATATTACTTAAATATGATTTTACTTTTAATATTCTTTAAGAATGTATTAGACATATAATTTCTGCAAAGAAAATTAAATTTGTTTGGAAGTATGTTTAATATTTATACTTTAAATAAACTATATACTATATGAAAGTTGTGTGAATAAGATTACATTTTTTTTTAATAACACATTTTTAGTTTATTTATTTTATTTTTATTGTTAAAAATTAAAATTTTTTAAATGATTAAAAAATTTATATTTTTCTTTTATAAAGTAATACTAATATTCAAAATAATTTATGCAAAATTTTGTTGCGATTTACTGATTAGTTACAAAAATATAGAACAAATAAATAGTTTGTTTTTTTTATTAAACAACTAGTTCATACATGTAACTCTACGTAAATTTTGAATACACAATATA